TGAGTGCACAAATTTTTGTGCACTGGGCCTCTAGTATATATATAATCTGCTATTACTACTCGCAACTTTCTATCCACTAATAATTCACAGAAGGTATTAAATAATGAAGAATTTTATGTGTTCTACTTTTAGGGACATTCAACTGGAGTTTTTCTTATATGATTTTGCTTAAGGCAGAATGAATCTAAGAGAAAGGAATGACTCCCTAATCCTTATTACTCTAGTCTTCTGCTTATGATTAAAGTACCTGTGACTACTTTCTAGCTTTTTTTATTATTCTAGATATCACACCCAGATTAAAAAAATTCTAAAATGTTATGTTCACAGTAAAACATTTAGTCAAAAATGCCTCAAGAATAGTAAATACCTACAAGCTAAAGTCCAAGCCATTTTTCTAGACTGTCAGGTCTTAATGTGATAAGACTAATATTCTAGAGCTATAACTCTAATAGGATCTCCTCTACCCAAGAATCCTTTGAATGAAGATGAACACTCATTATTTGTGCTTATGTTAATTCTGTTTCCTCTTCCTTCTCCTCCCCCCACCCCCCTGCAATCACCACACTGTTGTCCATGTCCATGAGTTATCTCTCTCTTTTTCTTTTTTTGCTCAATCTCCTGCCTCCTCTCTATCTATGGGTCTGTTTCCGCTCTTTAGCTTTTCCAACTTTTCTGTCTGGTTCAGTTCCTTATTTTCTCTCCTTACTTCAGCTGGAGTCTCACTCCTTCAGGTAACTTCCTTTCAAACTTAGTGATTGCTCAGTCCTCTGATGATTTGTGTCCCTTTGTTTACACTTGGTTTAGGCTACCATACATTGTTGATTCTTTCTTTTCATAGATATTTTTGTTTATAAATTCCCTGCAGGAAACTATGTTTCCCATAATTATTTGTATTTCTAGAGCCTAGAGCAATGTCTGACTCATAATTATAACTTTAAAATATATTAAAGGAAAATCTATGGATTTTCTAATTGGAGCCACTTTCGCAATGTTTGCTACTTTGAGTTTTAATTTGTATGACCTAGGTAACTGCATTATTGAGTACCACAAAGATGTAAATGAACCCAAAATTATATATTTCTAAAAAAGAGTCATGTTATTGATTAAGAAACCACGGCAAAAGATATAAGAAATTGGCACAAATTAGAATATGAAAGTTCTTAATCGACATAGACACATGATGTTGGAGAATAAAAAGATTTCAAGCAGAAATAATAGCTGGGGCAAAGGCAAAGAAATAAAATAAAGGAGGATATTACTAAGGAACTATCCCTAATTCCTGTTGGTTGGCTTATGAATAGAATATCTGAAAATAAGCGTGGAAATGTGAGTGGCATCATGTTTAACCTTTATCTAAACCCACTGGGAGTTATTAAAATGGTTTTAAGCAGTGAACGGGTCTTCAAGAAGGTAAGATCAGCTTAAAACTGAAACTTAAGTCAGTTTCCTAGAGTAACGAGGTTATTACATAGTAAGGAAATGTGTAATCAGTCTCAGACTCAGTCAGTAAGAATAACAAATAGAATGAAATAGATGGAACGGTTATTAAATAGATGGTATTAATGTTATTGTGAAAAGTTTAGGCCTGGGATAAGGGGAAAAGATGAAACAAATATGACACTACCATTTGAGCATGTTTAAAACAAAACAAAACAAAACAAAAGCACAGCATTATTACCTGGCTGGCATGGCTCAGTGGTTGAGCGTTGACCTCTGAACCAGGAGGTCACAGTTCAATTCCCATTCAGGGCACATACCTGTGTTGTGGGACTCAATCCCCAGTGTGGGGCATGCAGGAGGCAGCTGGTAAATGATTCTCTCTCATCAATGATGTTTCTATCTCTTACTCTCCCTTTCTCTCGGAAATCAATAAAAATATACTTTTAAAAAACACAGCAATATTGAAAAGAAAATGTATTTTTCTCCTTGCATGTTATGCAGAAATGCATGTAAAAAGTTCTTCAGACTTTACTTCCAACAATTTTTAAATAATATAGTCCTTCAAGGTACTGAAAACATTCAACCAAGCTCATTTATGCTTGACATCATCAAAAAAATTCACAATATTTTCCTGAATTTTTAAAAAGCTCTTATTGGTTTTTGAGAACAATATTTTCATCTAGCAATGATTTCAGTAAAGGTATAATGTCTTTCTTTAATTTTTTAGAAATCCAAATGGGACCCAGAATAGTAGTACAAGTTGGCCTGTCTTCAATAACACTGAACAAAAATATTTAACCTTGAATACACAGTCGCCAAAAATATATACTAAACTACGTGCTCAACAATGCCGATTCTGGACACTGTTTTTCCCCAAAGTCTTGGAAATGACAGGTGTGTGTTTTTAATATTTTGTTCAATAATTGCTTGTGGATTATGTAAAAGGGGGAAAAGCTGGACTATCCGAGGCATGTAGATGGTATTAATCTGTGACTTTATAATTACTTGATTCTGATGAGGTCTGATTACTAACAATTTTCTTCCAGCAAATTTGGGTATGTTTTGAAGGCTTACTATATGAACAGCACTTTAGTAGTTAAATAAAGAAAACTAAAATAGGAATTTTTCCCTAGAAGAACATAAAATAGTAGCAGAACTAAAATAGGGCACTACTTGCTATTCAGCCAATCTTCATGGAATTAATCAATAGATAATAAATTTATACATAAAATAAATAATTCACACAACTGAAATACAACAAAATATAATTTATACTAGAAATAGATAATAACAAATTTATTGATAAGTAGTGCAACCCTTGATTTCTAAAGGGGAAAAAACTCAAAAGCTTACATTTAAAATAACACAATCCAAATATTTCTAAATATCCTGAACTTGGAGATATTTATCTAAAAACATGTACACATATTATATAATACAATAAACAGATACTAAATTAGTTAGCTAATCTTCTGAAAGTGCTTATCTAGACTTATAGAAGGAAATACTAAGAAAATTGGTTCAGGTGATCATATTATTTCAAAATTCATGAGCGAAAAACTAAATTAACTTAAACATCCAACTTGAATGATCACATCTTTTGTGAGAAAAATGGCACATCTCATTCAATGCCTGGGTTTAAAAAGCTCAGCTGTTCATAACCCATGTGGCTCTTCTAGTCAATTTTCTACCTTAATTTTCTCAAATAAAAGTAATTGACTTACAGCCACCAGACATATTGCTGGCCAGTTCCTTTACCCTTTACCATTCTGTTCATTGTAACACTGTAATTTTCAGACTACATATTAACTAGCACAATCTAGTATGTTTTTAGTTTCTTATTTAGAGAGGGAAGGAGTTAGTTTCATGCAAATATGAGCACCTCAGAGCTGTATTTGATTGTTTAATATGCCTTTTGATTATCAGACATTACTCACCAAAATTATAATTATGTGCTCCATCTGTTTGGGAAATGTTTCTGATATACCAGCACTCTGTGTATTACCAAATGTTCAGTGACATAATATATATCCAGAGATGGGCTTCTGCATTCCTTGGCAGAGATACAGTGCTGCCTTTGTCTCCTCTGGGTGTGAATAACAATGAGGTAACGCGTTTAAACTGCCAAGAGACCAGAAGAGGTACCATTTAGCATACCGCTCACTACATCGTCTTAATCTTTACTTAAAATATTTTTAAATGAGAAGTTCATAATTTGAGAAAAAAAAATAAGAGAGGGGTTGGTGGGATCGTAAATGACTAATTTATTATAAGCCAAACTGAGCCATTCTGATTCAGGCACATATGGTATCTTGCAATTTATTTGTGGATAAAATAAAATTTGAATATCCACAACTTCTGAAGATGTACTTCAAAATCTCTACCTCTAAATACTCAACTGCCATAAGGCAGATTTAATAAAAAGTTTTAATTTTTAGCTAGCTTCTACCACTTCCTATGCAGTACGGAACAACTTTCTAGTTTGAGCAACACTGTGGGGAAATGTCATACCTGTTCTGGGTTAGTAATGTGCTCTTAGGATAATTCCATGTGTCTTGAAAACATAGTTTAAGTATTCTTCTCAGATAATCTTTCCAAAAAAGTTACATTAAAATATATATTTTTTAAAAAATAATTAAATACAGGTGATTTTAGAATATCAAGAATGTATTTCTAAATTTCTAAAAAAATACATTTAAATGCACAAAACTAATTTAAAATTGCACGACTTTAGTATTATAAATAATAAATAATGAAGGGTTTAAAAAGGTTAAAAGTACATGTTCTATTAGCCTAACCAATGGGCACAGACACCAGTGGGGGTGAGAGCATGAGTGGGGGTTGGGGGGACAGTGGGGGGATAAGGACACATATGTGGAAAAAAATAAAATATGTGTACTCAAATTAATAAAAATAGTAACAAAAAGCACATGTTCTTATCATACCTTATGTTTTTCTAGTTGCAAAACTTCAAACATTTCATTTTTTGATGTTTTGAAGATTGAAGTTTCTCAGATGACATGGGTGGAAGTTCTTTATGAAAATATCATTTTTAAAATGCAGCTCTACAAGTAAAAGGAAATTTCAAAGAATGACTACTGACTGGATTATTTAAAAGGAGAAATGTAATGCTTACTTCACTCAAGATGGAAACCTAATAAGCTTTATAAGTACCACTTAGGCAATAGTTTATGTTTGAGAAATAAATGTTCTTACATAAAATAATCTGTAAGACTTGTTTAAACACATGAATTCTAGCACTTAACTTTCAAGCCATAATTTAGTACTTGCCTATGCTATTACTGCATGCACCTGCAAGAAATGAAGTGTACTACATTTGTTTCAAATTTTATCAAATTAGAGTTTTCATGAAGAATATAACTATAATATATCAGACTCATTAAAAAAAAAAAGGAGAGAAATGACCCAGTCAATGTCAATAGGATATCAACATTTTTCACCAAACGTGGAAGAGTACATTTATTTAACAGAAAAAAACATATTAGACTTCCATATCTTCCCAATAGAAAACAAATATTAGATCCAGTGGTTCCTCCTTTGGTCTTTAAATAAATCATGGCACATTATTACTTGCCCAAACTAAAGAAGACCACATATAAATGTAAGAGCTGAGATGCCACTCTGAAGAATTATGTACTGCTATTTCCTAATCATTTAGCAAGAATGGCAACCAAAAAATTAGAGTGAAAACTGGCTTGGAGGAAAACAAATCAAAAAAATTTTTTTACTGCTTTCATATTCTGAATTTTCTATTTCTATTAAAAGAAAAACAAAATAATACAGAACAACTACAACAAAAAACCTTTGGGCAACCTTTAATTAAATCAAATAATATTTTAGTTTCATGTTTAAAGCATGAAATCATCACAAAACCTAGCCTGTTCACTCTACTATTTCATTACAAACTCAAAATTATAACAGGACAACTATTAAGTTCTGATACACTCCATAAAAACCATGCATTTCTTTGAAATTTTAATAATTGGTTGACAAGTATGGAAATAAGTATTAAGAAGAGATTTTCAGTGAACTCTCACAAATACAT